AAAAAAAGGTAAGACTACAGTTCAAATCCAGGCCTTTCCATTTCCAAAACAAATGTTTTTAACCAGTACACCACACTGCCTTATTTTCAGAATGATCCCAGAAGGACTCTTGACTTCCCTCCCTTCCTCACACAAGCTCCTTTCCTCCCCTTGCTTTGTCCTGCCCTCTAGGCACCAAAAGCTCCAGGCCAGTGGCTTCTTTTTTCTAAGTACATGTTGTCTCAGTCCCTCCTCTGTAGCGCCCAAATCTGTCTAACCTGGACATCCAGGACTCTCAAGATCTGGCACCGATTTCTTTTCCTAAGACTTTTTCACACGTCCAACATTCTAACCAAGCGAGTCTCTCTGCACTTCCCTGAATCATGTCTTTCCCTGCCGTCCCATTCCTGGACAACCCTCTTCCACATCGTCCTCTGCATGGCCAAATCCTACCCCTCTGCTCTGATGCCAGCTGGTACCTTCTCTGAGTTCAAAGTCACACACACACACACACACACACACACACACACACACACACTGAGGCATTAATTGCACTTCCTCTGAACTCAACATGGGTCTCTATTTATACTTCCATGATGTCCCTGTATTAACATATTTGGACATATATTCCTTAAGAACAGCTCAATAGACAATCCAAAGCACTCCACATAGTGTCTGGCACACAGAGGTGCTCACGAAAGTCACACCAACTAATTGAAGTGAATTCAATCTCACCCCCAGTCATCTCACTGCTATTTTTTCTACTAATAGCAAGTTTCCTGCCAAATACTACAAGCAACTTGAACAAGGTGTTTAGAATGGTAATGGATGAAAGTGGGTTACAGTCATATCTATTTCATATGATTATGAGTGAGTTTTATGGCCTTGGTTGCCTTGAATACCCAGCTGTTGGTTGCCATATCCTGCTCAGTCCGAAGGGTGGGAATGTTCCCCCTGCAGGGAGGTGTTAGCCAGGGGTGATATGAAGGGACTGAGAATTCAGCATGTATGGTATCGGCACCTTCTGAGTCATTTATGCTGTCACCATATTGGCACTCCTACTGCCTCTTCCTCAACTCTAAGACAAGCGAGGGGTTCGGGAGTCCAGGGGGATGTGCTACAGTTCTGCTCTGATGAGGTTCCAGAAAGGGGAGCAAGAGAGAGCCAGGTCAACAACCCCCAGGGGGAATGTAGAGTGCCCTCATTGGCGGTGCCTTTTCATTTCCTAGCCACTGCTGCCCCCTGGCGTTCTGGTTACGACATTCCACCAGCCCTACCCTCAGGGCAGTACCACCGTATAGAAATACAACAATGCGAGACAAGAACGTAATTTTAAATTTTTTAGTAGGCACATTTAAAAAGGTAAAAAGAAACAGATGAAAATAATGTTAATAGTAATATTTTATTTAACCCAATATATCCAAAATATTAGACCTTCAACATGACATCACTATAAAAAATTATTAATGAGATATTCTATATTTTTTCCCATGCTAAATCTTTGAAATCTGGTATATATTTTACATTTGCAGGACACTTCAATTCAGATAAGCTATATGTCAAGTGGTAGGCTTAGCTCTAGTGCCTTGAACAGCACTGCCCCTGCTGGCCTAACCAGTGCTGTCCCATGCCTTGAGCCAAATATTATCTTTAGACCAATCCTCTCCCTTGAGCTCCAGGCTCTCGCCAGCTGCCTGCTTTTCATCTCCACTTGTCTGTCTAACAGAAATCTCTATAAATTCTCCAAAACTGCATTCTCATTGTCCACCCCAAAACCTTTCTCCATAACTCATTCCAACTCAATCGATGGCGTCACCATCCACCCAGTTGCTAGGATTAGAATCCAAAGAGTCTTCCTTTTCCTTTTACCCCTGTCCCACATCCAAACAGTCATCAGGTGTTTTCGGTTCAGCCCATAGATACACCTGTTTGCCTTTCTCCATCTCCACTCTACTACCCTAATCCAGGCCACCATTACCTTGCCGAGGCTATTGCAGTAGCCTTCTGATTGCTTCAGCTCCTGCCCTCCCACTCCCTCACTCCACACTTACACAGAGCAGCCAGCGGTATCGACCACCCTGCCCACATCCCTCTATCAGCTTTCCGGTGCCTTCTAATAAAATCCAAATTCCTCACCTAGTTTTGCCACGTTCTTCATTACCTGCTCCCTGCACTTCACTGTCCACCCCTCTCCCCTCAGCCATAAGGCTCGAACCTACTAAACTCATTCCCATTTCCTGCTCCCTCTGTCTGGAATGTTCTTCTTTCAGACTTTTACATGGCTGGCTCCTTCTCATCATTCAGGTCTCTGATTAGTCTTCCCTCACCACCTTCTCTGCCATAGTCCTCTCATCCCTAATCATTTTCTAGCCAATAACCTTGTTTTTATTTTCTTCACGGGATTCATTTCTTCCTGAAATTGTTTGTTTGTTTGTTTTGTTTTGTTTTTTGTCTCCTTCCACTAAAACATAAGCTCCATGAGAGAAAAGATTTCTCTTCTATTGTTCAACTGTTTTTTCATCAACCGGAACAGTACATGGCACATAGTAATGTATGAATGAGTGAGCGAGCGAGCGAGCGAGCGTGTGCTATTCTCTCAATCTGGAGCACTCTCTCCACTCCAAGGTTGGCTCCTTCTCGTTCAGATCTCAGATTAAGTGTCACGTGCCCAGACAGCCATCTCAGGCTACTCTCCTTCATTTTCTATCTCAGCATCCTCTTTGCCACCCTCATAGCACGATTTTGACTACAGCCAATTTGTTGGCTTTTTTTTTTTTTTGTCTTTTTTGTCTTCCTTTGACCACTCTTACCACCACTCTATACTCTGCACTCCATAAACAGGGGCAACATCTGTACAGTTTACTCCTGTCACCCGCTGCCTAGCACAAAGCCTGGTATGTGGTAGATGTCTAATAAATACTTGCAGGATGCATAACCAACTCTTCCTGGTACCTTCCAGCCCTGCACAGGTAAGCAATCCCTTGAGGGTATCCCACCAGGCCCCTTTAAGGAGCCTGCCTTGTCCTGGTCTTCTCAGGCCTCCAGAAGCGGCAGCTCCCACCTCAATGGACCCCTGAGGGGGCCCGGGCATGATGTGAACTGGGTACCCAGCTTCAAAGAAAGGAGAAGGACTGAGGCAAAAAGAGGGAAAGCCACTGTCCCCAGGGTATGGCTGAGATTTGCACATTCCTTTCCCTCCCTCCTCTGGGGTCAGAGGAGCCTTCTTCTCAGCAAGGGTTGCACTGAGGGAGAGTTTCTGAACCCACGGACCCAGCTACCACCCTTCCCAACCCCCACTGCATTGGGCGCATGGCCAGGCACTTCAACCCTTATACTTACCACCAGGTCAAATCCTCGCAACAGGGTCTGTTCCCAATCTCCACACTGTGGTGGTCAGAGTTCCACAATGTCCTTGGGAGGATTCCCTCTTCAGGTACTTCCCTTCCACTCAAGTCTCAGACCTTAGAGATCATGCAATACAAGCTCCTCACTGTTCCAGAAGCCTAGAGAGGAGCGAGGAATTGCCCAGGATCAGCAGCCAAGGCCAGAACCCCAGACTCCTTTGGGTGGAAGTAACAGGACATGGTGTTTCCTGGACCCAGGGGTTCGGGCCACTTCTGCCTCTTCTTTCTTCCATGCTCACTCTGCACCTCGCCTCAGGAAAACCACAAGAAGTCTGGTTATAACCTTCCCATGCCTGGGCTTTCATGTCCGTTATCTCATTTCCAACCCATAGTATGGGACAAGCTAAGAGAGTAGGTAATGGGTTACAGAGATTGTTTCCCCCACTTGAAAGAGGTGCATGAAATACTGGGGCCAAAATGGTTAAATGGCTCCCACAAACACACATTGAAGCAAAAGCAAACTTTGGCTATAACCAAGGAATCCTATCTCCAGCTCAGGACCAGGATGCACTCTGCCCTGAGCCTCTCTGAAGGCCAAGATCTGGGCCACCACTGTGCCGGCTCTGACACTCAAAGCGGGGAGTGGATTAGGTCAAATCCACAGCCTCTCCTGGATCAGAGTTGAACTTGGAGGCATCTCCCAGCTCAGCCTCTTGCCAAGGCAGGCCTTATGCTTCCACTGCAGCTCTGCTAGTTCCTGGGACCTCTGGGTTGGCCCGAAGAGCACCATGGCAATCAGGACCCTTCTTGATGGTTGCCACTTTTCCCCAAGTGCCTGGAAGACCCTGAGGAAAAAAAACAAAGCTTAGGCTCCGCAGATTCCCTACCCTCACCAACCTGTGGACCCTCCTCACTCTCTGCTTCCGGTGTGCAGGCCCAGGGCACCATGCATGACTCAAGTGACAAGGGCACCGTGGTGGCCCCGCTGAACGCCCAGTAAGAAATTGACTAAGGGAATGATGGAGAAACTGTGTGACCTACTGCTGTGTGATTTGACTACCTGCTGATAGAATGACAGGATTGACGGACAGGCTGGCTGACGTGATTGACTGACAGGTTGGTTGTACTAGCTGACTGGGTGGCTGACGGGATGGACAGGCTGACGTGATTGACTGACAGGTTGGTTGTACTGATGCCGGCTGGCTAGAGTGACTGGCGGGTTGGCTGCTGCAAGTGCTGCCGCGGGCTTCCAGCCTCTCCGCCTCCCGCTCACTTCATGCCCACTCACCGAGTCGCCTGTCGCATTACGAACACGTTCCCGAACCAAAGCGCGCGAAACTGGACGACCGCGGCTCTTTCCAGGGACAGAGTTAGAGGCTCCTGCGCGGCCGACGGCGCCACCTAGTGGCGGCGCCCGGAAACCAGGGCCGTGGGCGGAGCTGTGGGGCTGGGCAGGGGATGGGGCCTAGGGCGAGGGTGGGGCGG